GAAACTTGTGTCTAAGGCTTCCAGTTGATTGCCTCCAGCCATCTAATATCTACTCGCCATCTTTATTACCAGTCGTTACTATCAATCTCACTAAACTTGTATTCTTGTAATATATACATTTTGAAAGTGATATTCATTTCATACTAGCAGTGTATCTTGCAATATACTCGGTTGCAAAAAAATGAGAATACGCTGTTAACTAAAATATATTATCTAACTGAATTTGGGATTGTCCCGTCGATTGATTGCACCGAAGTGCTCGGTCTCAGGTTAACATGTCAGCTTCTTGTGTAGATGTTTCGACGATGTCTGAGTATGTAATTAGAATTTAATTGGAGGATGGTGACTAGCAGTGGAATCCAGGATAAGGCGCATTTCGTCCTACGTGGGATTCGTCATCTGGCTCAGATGGTCTAGTGGATAACGCTTTGGCGTTTGAAACTATGGGCACTGGGTTCAAGCCTCAATGGGAACATTATCATTCACTGGGGAACGCAGGTACATCCAGAGGACGAATCCCAAATAGGACGAAATGCGCATTTTGGATTCCACTGCTACTCACCGTCCACCAATTAAATTCTAAAATATATTATCTATAAATAATATAACAGATGTCCTTCCCTCCAAAGAATAATAACATAAAAGGCATACTCTTGTGTATATCCACAAGATTGTATAACATACAGTCTAGGGAAAAAGCCCTCGTAAAGCGGAATGATGGATATCTGTATGATGAATAAAGTTTCAAGATTTCTAGACGGAAATAAAACAGATTGAAACCCGTAAGCATTTGAAAAGTCAGATTTTAAAAATCCTCAAAACTTAAATCATGCTTAAGATGGATACATCATAACCGTGAACCACAAACTAATTAACTAACTAACTAACCTTGAAATCTGCCAAATTAATTGGCATGCCTTGATTTGGAGTAATTGCTGTTGTTGTTTTTGGATTTGCATCCAAGTTTACAAACACTTGATACCATTTACCTTTGCCTAAATAATCCATACTACTGATATTATTTCGCCATAGAACATCTGATGAACTGAAAGTAAAGTGTGTTTAGATTTTTCAGATATCGCATGACATAATTCCTTACCATAGACTAAGAGCTTGGACATCGTGTGTTTGACTACGGCAGGCTCTGTGAAAGTTTCAAAAAAATCTGGTTTCTTTTACTGAATATTAGCAGAATGTCAAAAAAAGATAATAACTATTTAGGTAGTAAAGGAAGAAGTATAAAGTAAGTAGAATGTTGGAAATATTCAAGCATCCACTAAAAACATCCATTTCAAACTATTAAATAAGCAACCACACATAAATGCACACTTCACTCAATTTGAGCATCTTAGAAGGAGATATAAGAAACAGTCTTCACAAAGAAAAAAAACTTAAATTGTTCAGATGAGAATTTGATCAATTTATAGAATTTTAAGTGATCTGATAGGCACTCGTGTAGTATAACAAAATGATCAGTATTTCAGTTAGATAGATGGGTGTGAAATTAGCACAAGGGTAGCCATCATATCAATGCAAACCACAAAATTGATATGAGGTACAGAAATTCCTACACATTGATCGTCATACACAAGTATGATAGAAAACCAAATGTTCAGTAGTGTTTAATTACGTAACATATATGTGATAGGTTACATAAAAGAAAAGTAACCTGGATATATCAGCTTTATATTGAATATATATAAGCATGCTAGATTACTAACTTATAAGAAGAGTTACATTAGCTGAAGCAACAGAGGCAGTTCGATCGTAAGAAGACATCAGTCTAAGAAGCTCTTTACTGATGATTTTTATTCACGTAGTAATGCGTTGCTGACCTTTAAGATCTTGATAACGACGTATAGTCATTTATATTAGTGAGAAAACGTGTTCGTTGTATGTCACTAATGTTATGAAATATTTTCGACAATATTCATTTTATTATCGTTTATCCCCATACATTTAAGCTTGTTAATTGCTTTTTCCTGATCAATAGTTCTGTTCTGAACAAACTGAACTGATGTACACATCTCTACACGTACACACATCTGATTCATCACATGAATGCTCGTCATGGATCATATCTGATCACTGCTGCATTTCGAAGATACTTTGAATTACACTAACTGGTCACTAGGGTATTGGTGCAGCCAACTTTACAATGTTGTTATCATTGTCAGGTGACTCGACATTGCGGCACACTCTGAATACCTGGTGGGCGATTATCAGTAAGGAGTCGTGGGTCAAGGTTTTGTACTGAATTATACAAGCACCAATTCCTTCAACGTGGCAGACACGCCTTTCTAGAGGGCGCGGAATTTAAGCCCACGGGTTCGTCTCACCGGCATTCAACCAGGTAGCATGTGTTTAATTTCTATGATCATGTAGTAGTCATCTAGTGGCTGATAAACTGCGTCAGAAATCCGGTTACATAACTATTGATTACTGATATTTTATGTATGTTTATTAGTGCATACGTTTGCATATGAGCGTGTGGGACAAAATTATTTATTACACTCATTTCACAAATAAAATAAATAATTATTGTCATGTGATACAATGATTGACGTCTAACCAGTTTAATTGACCTAACTGTATACAAAAAACAAACAAATCAAATGAGAAAGAAATAAAAACAATCCAAATTCGCAATATACACAATTCAAGGGTTGAAATTTTAGCATATAGTTTCCTTCTGAAACTAAATTATTCCGATAACAGTATGTGATCTGATTAATCCTATTAGAGGTATTCAAATAAGCAAGCATTTTTGCATGATAGATTGACATGAGTAGTTTTATACTGATCATACAAACCAGTAGTACTTGCTAGCGAAATCGAGGTGACTTAAACACTGATGGCCGTTTCAGCCCGTTTGGTCCCGAGCACATCAATAGTGTACCCCAGTTTGATTTAGCTCAAAGCACCAAATCTCTGCTGACCAGCAGTTGAGTTGGAGCAGTCAGCTAGAAATAGGGTGTTTTGAACTGATTCGGCTGTCTGAGTTGAGTCAAGCTGGATTCACCCCATTTATGAGCTCAGCCCTAAACACGACAGAAATGGCTGTTCGGTGTTTACACGACTCCGATCTGGCTGGTTAGCAGGCATCACTGGTTGATATGGGTAGTATACAACTACAACTTTTAATATCACATCCCCTCAATGAGACCGTACACAAACACAAACTGAGAGATTATCATTCACAGAATTATGTGCAAAATTACAGTGACAGAAAAAGGCATATCTAGGTACTACTTAGCACAGTAATTTCTCAATTCCAGTAAGACAGAAATCAGACTTCAGGTAAGGAGTGAAGTATCCAAGTATCTATAGCTTTCGCTTAATCTAAAACATGCTTCTATTTATTATTTATTATATTCCTGTACGTTCCCAGTGAAACATAGGGCTTCAAGATAGAGCTTTGGAGTTTCGGTAGCAGTGATGTTTATTTTACGGGATGGGTTGCTAGCTTCATACCCAACCTTCACACTTTACCAATCTTATTAACGGCTTAGCGAAGTAAAGCATTGCGTCGGACGGGAATCAAACCCCGGATCAACTGTATGGCTAGCGAGCATCCTACCGGTGTGCCACTGACACACAAAACATATTTCCATGTAATACTCATATACGCAAACATCTACAGTAAAACTTTATAGCATCAAGTCATTAATGAAGCGAAATTTACGACAGGTTATATAATACAATATGCGTCGATGGGTTAGTGATAGCACGCTCGCCAGTCAGCCACACAGGAGGTATAGTTTCTATTCCCCGTCAACACATTCCTAAAACTCGCCTAATTAACTAACCCGAATATTAAGCCTGAAAAAGAGGGAAGGTTGGGCATATAACTTTCAACTCCCTTACGTACCATTTAAAAACAAAACCACCGTTACTAAAACTTTAAAGATTGATGCTCCACTCACAGAATGCAATGTATACTGGAAAAATAAAACGCAATGTTTTAGTTAAAATAAGAGATTACGTTACAATACTTTATAGCCCATATCTTAGTCTAAAGACATTAAGTGAGGCATTGTTTTAAAAAAAAACGTAGTTTACCCGTAAAATATGATTAATCTGTACAATCTATTTCGAACAATCTAATCAATAGCACATCGATTTGTCATTTCAATTTATACATAAAAATGAAGAATGTCAAACGGAAAAGGGGCAAATAAAATAAACAAAGTAATATAGTGGATTTTAAAGTAAGGAAGATAGTAGTAATATTATCGGATAAGGATTACTAAGATACATTCTAATCATGGAAAATAGGTGGGCATACTTTTTAGAAATGCGGCGGACGGCTATCGTCGTAGTATATTTTAGTAAGCACCTTTGTCGGTGGTTTGACCATATCTGAGCAAATTTTCTGAACAACCTAATATTAAACAATGATACGAGTAATTTCAGTTACATAGGTCCATTATAACAGATTGTATAAGAAGGCTTATGACTATAATTAAAATGAGAGGGATGTTTCTTTATTTACAAGTACAATTCAGGCACTATGGTAGACAGTATGATTTCACGTGAGATACATTTACTGGATTTAACGCTCGCGTGCAAGCATACATAAAGTGATGCAATATCATTGACTGAATGACATTCGGAGCACTTCTTTTTTTTCCTTCACGTTCCCCAGTGGAACATAGGGCTTCAAGCTAGTGGCTTGAAATTTCTGTAGTAGTGTTTATTTTACAGGATGGGGTTGTTAGCCTCATACCCAACCTTTCCTCTTTACCAGCATTATTTCTGGCTTAGCGACGCAAAGGAGTGCGTCGGCGGCCGCGGATCGAACCCCAGACCGTGTGCATGGTCGGTAAGCGTCCTAGCCGCTATACCACCGACGCACAACTTCTCACTCATAACTATATCACAAGGTATTATCATACGACGTTCCGACTTATTGTAAATGAATTTATATGAATTATTCAGAAGACATAAGAGGAGAATACAAAAAATAAACCCGCAAATTATTGTACAACAATACATACTTTATAATCAGATTGACCTGACAGTTCCACTTTCACTGTTTTCCATTTGGATATTTCTCTTATACTTGGTATTCTACTATTAGTATTAGTAATACTACTATTCCACAAATGATCATTGGCACTTTTATTTTTCGAAAAAGACGAAGAATCAACCATGTTAAAGTCGACAACCTACCATACAACACCAACTATTCCTGTGTTAACACCAATATCGGAGTGACACGATCTAATAAAAATATATACAGATATATGTGTGAAACCAGCAAACTGCAATTCATATTAATACACAAATAGATAAAGGTATGAATTAAGTATAGATTAAGAAAAGATAATATAAGATAGTGAAAAGTAAGACAAGAAATAATGAAAGTGAAAAGAAAGGCTAAATTCATGCACACAGAACACATAACGACAGTTCAATGAATTCAGCTCATTCACACAACATACATAAAAGTAGTCAAATTCTCTTTAATGTAAGCAAACCAAATAAAAGGGATGAATTCGACACGACAACATTTAGAGTTCAAGGATTAGTTAATAGAGATTTAATTAGTTTCAGGTTAATTCATGAACTGATTTGAGTTACAGAACTACTGAAAACCAAGGAGTATTGAACAAGTGTTTCATCATAGTTTGAGACTCTTGAGCAGTACGCGCCAATGACCACATTACAGAATTCAGCCCAGGACCTTCACGTTAGGAGACGATCTCGTTGACCATTCGGCTATTAGGAAGGTATCAAATGGCCGGTCCATGAATTTTAACTTCTGTCAATTATCGATTTTTAGCGCCATTTCTAGCCAATTTCATAGGCGAGTGTTTGTGCTCACACGCGAATAGTTGAGTCCACTGGTCATGACTGCTCAGTGCGACCCCCAAACAACTTCATACTGTAGTCAGTTAATAGTGAGCTGAATGATCACAACAAGCTTGCCTTGCAACCTAAAAGTCGTGGACTCGACCCCTGGAGCTGGATAAGTGTGTGTGCCATTGAAGAGTCACAAGCTAGGACGAAACATCTGTCCAGTACACTTTAATCTTCAATAGTTTTCTGGATGACACCATTCCATGATCAAACTTGAAATTTTAGTATGTTAAAACTCCTATTGTGGTAACGTGAAATATGATGAATAGACACACTCACCTACTCAACCACGCTCACACACGTATGACACAAACATGGTTCACTAATGATAATATAAGATATATGTCATGTCACAGTAGTAGGCAAGGCAAAAATGTAAAATAAATGGAACGTATATATGCAACAAAAGAAAACATCCCTAGAATATTGTTGTAATTATTAGTAGCGTTTATTTGCAGTATATACCAGCTTATAGAGGACTAATTAACTCTCAGAAATCGGTAGCTTATTGGGAGAATGCTCTCACTAGCCAGACATGCAGTCCAGGTTCGGTTCTCAGCCAGTGCACTCACAAACCTCGTCTGGTTTACTAGTCAACCCTCTCCCTTCCCCACCAAAATAAAGGAAGGTTAAGTGTGAGGCTACCAGCATCACAGCTACATTAAACCTTCAAAAATTGAAGCCCAATGTTCTATAAGAAACGTTAAGGAATGGAAAACTGGAAATCCAACAGACCTTAAGGAATGAGAAAGTTATGAAGATGTTGATCAGTTTGAAAAAAAGTTAAAAGAGTCAGCTTTTATTCAGTTGTTTTAGGTAATAATCAGGTGTACCCAAAGAAGAAAATTCAGTCACGGATAATAATACACCTACTATTACATTCAATTATTATGATAATTGGTTACAGGATTTCATCATGACCTGACATTGGCTAGAGAACCATTGGAAAACCTGGGAGTACTAGACAGCTGTTTCGTCAACCTAGGTTGGGACTCTTCATCACTACGCACCCAGTAGGGTTCAAACCAAGGACCTTCTAGTTACAAGGCTTAATAGTCTCAATGGTCTACGAGCTCGCCTTGTATGCTGAACGTTCAGGATTCGAACCCCAGTGAGTGTATACTGCCGAAGGGTTCCACACTAGGACGAAGCAGCCGTCCAGTACACCACGCAGGCTTTCCAATAGTTCTCTGACTGATGTCAGCTCATAATGAAATCTTGTAACCAATCAATCAAACCCCTATAAACCAATACTTGAATATAATAATAATAATCATGAATAAGAAATACAAACCTTGAAATCACTGGACTGATTAACACTCAGTGGAATATGAACAATGTGCCATTTGTTATTACTTTCAGTTAATCCATTAATTTTCCATAGCGGTTCATTTGAACTATAGATACATATTTGTAAAACATTGTAAGATGGCATTATAAAACAACCTACCATAGCATAGATGGGAGACCACTTTCATGATCTATCACTGATCGACAAGATCTAATTAATTTAGCAGGAAGAAAAGAACGAGAATATAAGAGACAGTGTGAAGGAAAGTTTAAAATGTAGTGCGATAGAAAGAATACACTTCTAAAGGGACAGAGGGGAATAAAAAACAGAAGAAGGGGGAAAGAAAGAATGACAACTGCCAAACAAGAAAATATGACAAACAACATATCACTTAGAAAGGTTATTTAGACAGACTCATTCTACAACAGCAGGCAAAAACAAAGTGGTATATCCAAGTATTGGTTTTTTTTGGTAGGGATTTTCGTTTGATTGGTTGGAGGATTTCAAAATGAGCTGACATCAGTTAGACAACCATTGGAAAAACTGGGGGTACTGGACGGCCAGCTGTGTTGTCCTAGTCTGTGACTCTTAATGACTTAATGGTCCTAGAGCTCGCTATCCTTGTAACCAGAAGGTCCTAGGGGTTCGAACTCTGACGGGGATGCGTACTGGTGAAACGTCTAGGACGAAACAACTGTCCAGTACTCCCAGGTCTTCCAGTGGCTGTCTAACTGATGTCAGCTCACGATGAAATGGTGCAAACAAATGCTTCAATCAAAGTGGCATATCATTTGAAGTTGCCACCACCTCAGCTTATAAAGTATGATTTAAAAAACAGTAACGCTAGAACAAATTATGGCGGATGGTGAAGGCAGTTAAACTAAAAAAATGAAGAAGAATGCGAAAAAAGATGTAAATAAATATGTGTACCAACTATGCATAAACTTATTTACAGAACCTACAATTTTCTTGTCATTACCAAAGATGTCTAAAGTCTCTCTTGGAAGTTAATGTGACCAGCCAATCACAGAAACTCAACCTCTTGCATTTCTCAAGTGTTGATTTGTACAGACTTCCATGATTACAATTTTGATCATGAATTGATCATAGTTTAGCGAACCACTAAAAACCAGCTGTTGAAATCTTGCTTGAGAATCTTTAGAACTACGCACCTATGACCCAAATGCCAAAGATAGAACACAGGACTTCCAGGTTAAAAGGAGAACTCATGTACCATTCAGCCACAAAAAACGGAATAAATGCCTGACCAATTCTAACTTGTGCCAACTTGCAGTATCACCACTGAGTATCCGTTTTCATGCCCAACTTGCTGGATCTCGTTGATTACGACTTCTTATTATGACTTCAGACAATTTTGTTTTGTACTGAGTCAGTGGTGTGCAATAATGGATTAATTTTCAAGTATTCGTCTTACATTTCTGTCAAACTGACAATGAGCTATACCTAGTGTGTGAGACAGCTAATGATACTACCTAGCTGAGAAAACCTTAGTGGACAGGGGTTTAAACCTTTGATATAGTTGGTTAGAAGTCAAGCGCTTAGACCAATACGTCACAGTTCCGCTCCACTGAAACTGGAAGCATAAATGAGAAGAAATTAACACCAGTGGTTTAGAAGAAGAAAAAATGTTACAGATATTCATATGAAAGTAAACATTACGAAAAGTATGAAGGAATGAATGAATGAAGAAAACACTTGATGAAGTACTACTATGGCGTGTGTTACTGATAAGGTTTATCAGTAGGATATATTTAAGGAAACGTTCATCGGTATAAAAACATGAAATAGAAGGGAGATAGGTGGATTTGATGTCAGAGAAAGCAGAGATACATGGGAGACGTGAAAGGAACACAAAGAAACATGATATGAAGGGAGGCTAGAAGTAGCACAACACAGAAGATCTGTGCGAATGGTGCATTGAAGATAAGGTGTACTAGATAGTGGTCTGAACCAACATCTGCTCCTCTCCTCGACCTTTTGTCCAGTAAGCTTCGTCTCCACTTCCTTGAAATTGAGATGAAGTCTATTTGGTTTTGTACATAATTTGGCTATATAGAGATACCAAATGGCAAGTAGACGTTCCATAGCCGAGCATTCTGTCACCTACTGACTCTATGAGATACAACATTAAAGGTAACAAAATAAAGTACCAACTGTCAGCACGTCTATGACTATTATAGTATCACCCAAACAGCATATCTCTCAGGTGACCGGTTGTTATTCAGAATAATAATTAATTATTTAGTTCATTATTTTTAGTTTATTTCATCAGTTCATGGTGTGGAAATAATCAGTAGATGTTTTCGACTGACCAAACGAATTTCAAAATTTATTTCACACTCCATAGTCATATTTTATTGTATAATTGGTGTATTAACCGACAATATGTACACAAGGTATTCACATATAACAACAAGAACAAAAACAACAACGGTGGGAAGATATCAGTTTTGAATGTTTGATCGCCTTTTTATACCATCCGCTATCAGGTTCGACTATTCCACAAATGTACTGGAATCATTCTGTTCAAATCCTAGGTCATGCTAAGGCGGTGCCATTTATTTGTGAATACTTTAGCAATATATTTTGGATACAAGATAGTCAACCCAAAGGTATGTATATTCCTATCAGCGACAATTTTTAATGTATCGGAAATCCTATCAACAACAGCAACCAAAAAGACAACATATCTAGAAGACAACAGACAGAAAAAAATGTCAAAATTAAACAACAATCATGGACAGACACTCCAAAATAAAACAGTTTTATTAAAACTAAACGGAACTTGGAGTTCATAACAGATGAAAGGTAAAGCGAAATAAATACATAGATAAGACGATAAAAATAAACCAATGGTTGGAGTGACTAAAACGCGATACTGTTGTGGCATGTGCTACTGATAAGAGCTATAAGTAGTACATATGAAGAGATACCCATCTGCATAAAAAAACATCAAACAGTAGGGAAATGGATGAGATGTCAGTGAAAACAAATGATTCAGCGTTGCGAAGAAACATTCCTTTACCAAGTCTCTCATCTTATACCATTG